GATCGAACCGTTTACAAAAAGGTTGATATGAAGATTTTTCCCAACTTCACATCAAATTCAGATCCTCTACATTTACTGTTCTTAAACTGTTGATTATCTTGTCGAGTAGTCGATTCTGTAGTGATGACACAACGTAACTTGATCGATACATGCTTATACAGTATTAGTATAAGTATAGTTCCATATAGCTCACTGAGGGCGGATATAGCGTAGTGCATTCAAAGATTTTTTTATGGAAATGTACGGTCTCATGAGATATATAGAACGGGATCTGCTCTTGATATATCCAAAGCTGTTTCAGTTTCAATGAACTAATAGAGAGGCCTAGTTAATGGGATCTTCTTTCAATGAAAAACAAGAAAGCTCATAACCATGAATAGGCGAAATAACTGTATACTAAGCTGATATTGGATTCCCCTTTAATTAAAACCATCACATCTGGGTCTAAGCTTAATGACCTCCGGCTACAGGCAGGATCTAATATTATTGAATACTACATCTGTTGAGTGGGGTAGTTGTGGCAAAATGGAGTCCTTTTGACTCTCCCTGTTCTTGCGAAGTGAACTACTACGATAACCAACCATCATTGTCCCATTCCTGATGAGTCTGAGGATAGTACTTTTAATAGATCCCAGCGCAATTGCAACTAAAGTTGCACTGAAAATATTCAAAGTAGATCTAGTTTTGGTTGGATAGCCTTGACTGATTCCTTAATACTTAATAAAGAGTTTTTTGAATAGGGAATTTTTAGAAATGTTCGCGAGATATCAGACATTCTTTATACATGTTAATAGTAGAAGGTTCAAGGTTTAATGCATAGATTCTACTGAGGCAATATTGACGAAGTAAATTTTAACCTAAAATACGGTGCAAACGTTAGGCAATCTGATGAAGACCTTGAACTGTAATAGTAATGTTATGAGTACAATATTTTAGGAATTTTAATTCTGAGGGTTTCTAGAACCCCTATTATGGCCTTATGGATTTAGAATATCCCAATATTTTACTCTTACTTATTTATAATACAATTTGTATATTACTTACCTGTTTTAGGTAAATTAAATAAGTAAATATGTTTTATATACTGAATATATATGTATTTATATCTGTTTATTTATTTAATTGTATACAATGAGCCATAAAGTAAGTAATTAAATAATCAATGTTTATTTATTTAGTTTTATAACTTAATTTGCAATACTAGCTAATTTTTTGTAATCATTTTCAATTCTATTACATTTTCATTATAGTATTTAAGTCTTGGTAATGATAAGGAATATTTGTATATTTATTATTTGTTAAATATGTTCACAAGATTAATCGATGGTTAGATAGTAAATACATTATTTAGGAAATCTGTAGAATATAAACTTACATATGATTTTATAAAATATATCAGATAAAATAAATTTCTCAATTTTGGCTCATAATTTTAGATTTATTTTTGATAGTTAAACAATATTTCGGAAGCCTTAATTATGTCTTGAAAACATACTTTTAGCATTAAAAAATATTACATATTTATATAGGTTATTGTCCATTTTTATAATTTATTTATATTATTTTTATTATTATCATTTTATTTGACGGTAGGCAATTTTGTTGTTGTTCAACTTTAAATTTTCTTATTAAAAATATTGTATTTAAAATGTAATTTAAATATAAACTGAAAAGATTAAACGCTAACTAAATTTACATTAATATTATCAGTTTATTTCAACAATGAACGTTTAACGAAATACATTTCTGAAGTATCAGTGAATCCGAGGAAAACTGATCTAGTTGTATTCTCCAAGAGATACAAGATTTCTCATTCCTTATCGAAGTTGAATTAACTCTCTCTGATAGTGTAACAGATGTGACCATTGTACTAAGTATATACTAAAATGAAACTTGAAAGTCCAGGTAAAAAATTTAGGGAGGACCTGGGTCATTAGGAAGAAGATTGCGAAATAGTTATTCGACATGTCTAGTGGACAGTGGAACCCTCAAAAAATCAACCTACAGCAATAGTATTTAAAACATTATTATATTGGTTGCTTGACGACCTTATCGCCAAACCATTGGCCCTCAGACTTGACGCTACTGGCATCTGGATGTCTAACCATATCGGTCATGCTTTTATTTTGGAATATATGACATATGTATATTCCCTTCAATATTTGTACGATATTACAATTTTTACCTGTTATTAGATGAGTATCTAATGTCTACACGACAGACATCTGGACTTGAGATGTCGAAGCATAAGAACCTAAAACTGCTCCTCATACTATGTCATTCAAATGTACCTGAAAATAATATAACGGACGATATGGAGAAACCTCGGCTCTAGCATAAACAAAAGGGGAAACCATACTCCTATCTTCTGCTATAAATTTCTTATGTATCGAAAACAAATAGTCAAAACTGATCACTTCCTTAATATCGAAACAGAACTGATCTCTCAATTATGGTCGCTAAACTTCAGCTCTACAGGGCACGAAATAGTTGGTGCACATGAAGAATAGATCTTCCCATTAAGGAGTAACTTAGGAGTTGCCATAACAAGGACGAAGAAGAGACATTTGTGAATTTTCCTTGACATCCAATTAGTCTTCTTCCTCTTTACTTCTATTCAACATCTTAGAAAAGACTACTCGACTTATATATTAGGCAACGACTAGACGATCTTAATGGTCGTTTTACAGATACAGCTCTACAAAGGGTTTTCCGAGTTGTATTTCAACTCAAGACATTGGAAAGTCTCATTGACTTACATATTAGGCAACGATTAGGTTTGTCAAGTAGTTAACATGCCTACCATATGATCGATCTACAGTGGCAGCACTTAACTTTGTCCGAGATATGGAAAATCGCCTGAACTTAAACTGTTAGACATAGAAGTTGCTTACAACAAGGTCTTACTAATCTGGGCGTTGAAGAGAATATCAACAACAATGTAGATATCTAGAATAGTTATAGCTAGTCTTGGTAGCAGCATTAAGTCCAAGCACGTGAACGAAGCATAACTGGATACTTATAGAGAGATACAAGTTATTGGTTATGCGAACGATGTTGTAAAACTGGTATCAGTAAGGTTTTCAGGCGTGATTGATTAACGCTTTGTTGCTATTCAATAACTGGACCATAAACAGTAGTCTATATAAGCAAAGCATAACTGGTACCAAAACCAAGCTTCGATTCGCCGCGATTATAGAACGACCAATTTCCCTTATGAAATAATGTTTAATATCTGGGAATTATCATAAATCATGGAAACTGAACATTCAAAACAGAGTCAAAAAAGCAACAGTTGCCTACGGTACCTTTCGTAAGGCATTCGTACATGACGTTGTCTGAACTATAGAGAAGGCACTTGACATAAAGGAGTATGTTATGGCATCTTTCTAGGACATATTCGTCGCATATGCTGACGACGTTGTGCTTCTTATTCAAGGGAAATTTCTTCGCACAATAAGTGAACTCAAGGAATCAGCCCTCAGCGTTCAATTATCAAGTGCCAGGGAAAACAGTCTGGGTGTCAACCAGGCGAAAACCAACAAAGTAGGATTGGGCCGCGAACACTATCCTAAGGGATGATTTGATCTCAATCTATCGCTCAAAGACAGAAAGGGGAATCTTCTCCGAAAAACTGAATCGGGAACTAAATTACGAAAATTCGACTATACATATAAATATACTTGGACAGCCTTGCATCAATCAAGGCTCTTAACTCCAATGTTATTAAGTCGAAATGTCTTCTCAATTGTATTCAATCATTGGCACAACTGACACAACATCATGTTGAGTTGATATGGGTTCCAGGACATGAGGGCATCCGGGGAAATGATATATCTGATGAATGCGCAACCAAAGTGTCATCCTTAGACTTAACCCTTGCACAAAGGGATATTCACACTCCCCTGGTGACCCCATTAAAAATAGATAGATGACTGGGCTTTGAGTAAGATGGAACTCAGGTGGTCAAATATCGAGACTGCTCTGGCCCACTCTGACAACGTATAGGACTAGAACTCTCTTGTCTCTTAGTAAAAACTCGATTAGGCTTCTAACGGGAATAATTACTGGGTACTGTATGATTGTATATATGTCAGAACGTATGGGCTACACACGTTATAGCTACTATAGATCTGTTTTGGACAACTTTAACGTTGTTGCAGTAGCAACTCCAGTGTACTAACTTTAGATTCTTTCTTCAAAATGCTGAAAATAGATGAAGTAATCTAGAATAGAGTAGAGGTGTCAAGTTGTTTCAATGAGTAATGCAGTAGGTAACTTATAGAGCGATATAGGCGGTATATATCGGAGTTGCTGGCAGTAGTTACTAGTTACTGGCGGCTTGCTCTCCACTTTAAACAGTTGCAATGACAGGGATGAAGATGTAATGGTTTTCCACCTTATCTGTAAAAGTCTGTCTTAGCTGTCAAGAAGATCTTGCTTAACTATGTGGTTCCAGACTTAATGACCTTTTTAAATACCTCACAGTAGTTCGTCCATGCCTTGGGATGGATCGATTTTATATTGAACTTTTACATGTTATCTCCCGCTTATGGCTAGAGACAGAATCCATTTCTTGGGTAATACAGTGTGAATAGCTTATGGATGTAAATGTCGTGCAAGTGGGTTGATACAGGATCCATTTTTGGCTTATACTAGTGGAACTTGTTATGTCCCGCTAGAGGGGAAGACATAGGGCCCAAATGCCGGCATATGATAACGATCGAAATCTCAATAGATTCTAAATGGCCCCGGATCCATTTTTGAGTATACAGTAGGACTAAATTATGGATTCAAGTGATTACTTATTCAAGTAGTTCTACTGCCTCTTCAATCTTAAGTACTTATATATTAAGCTGGGCAATTTGACAATGATTTTCAGTTAAAAGTGTAGAGCAGTTTAAAGCAGTTTTCACATTAGGAATCAGAGAGTCTAAATGTTTGTCTAGTGGCTTTCAAATTTTTTTTGTTGAAATAAAAAAATTAAAATTTTTAAATATATTTACAACATTATATTTAGTTTTATTAAGTTTTTAAAGCAAATTATTTAATAATATACAAAACTTAAAAATGTTATAAACTTAGATTTAATAGTTTTAGTTACGTTTTACTTCTCTTAAACTTAAAGTAGAAAATTATAAAAAACGAACCTAATTAAAGCTTAAGATTAAAACTTATAGTTTTAAAAAGCTTAAAGCTTAGTAAAAATTAATGTTATATTAATATTACTTACTTAATATATTTAAAAATAAATTTTAGTTTAAAACAAATGGAAAAAATGTTTTTTTTGCTAATGTTTTTAAAAAAGCTTACAAGGAAACAAATAGAAACAAAATGCTTTTTTTATTCTTTTAAGGTAAAAGCTTTTTTAAACTTAGTTGTAATTAGTTATATAATCAAGTGTAGTTATAATGTAGTATTTTCATGTAATTAATGTATGTAAAGTATGTATATAATTGATGTTGGTAAATGTATTTATGTAAATAGGCAAGTTTATAGTTTTTTTATTTGGAATTTCATTTAAATTTAATAGTTAATCACGAGTTTAAACTCAATGCTATTTTCAGTAGTAAGTAAGTGGATCTCTTGAATCGATGCCCAAATTTTCATCGGGACAATTTTTAAACATTTTCACTTTTAATGATTGATAGGGCAGTGGTTTACCTTCACTTAAATTGGCAGTTACATAAATTAAATATGTCTCTCCGGGCGTTAAATTGAACACAGTATCAGTTTCCAAAGGTAGGGGACTGCAAACAGGGTTTTATAAATAAAACAAATTCAGCAATAAATAACAAATAAAATTTGATTTCAAAAATTTATAATATTTATTTAAATGTTTAAAAATTTTAGAAAAACTATTTATTTCTTCCACATTTATACCCTCAACTGCTTTTGTCATATTTATTTAACAAATACTTACTTTTTAGCTTTTTTAGGACATTTTATCGAATGAAATTGTTCATGTTTCATAATACGTTTGCCAAAATCCATACAATAATTTGTATAATCGATCGAACTGCGATTACGTTGCGGTAAATTTAGCACAATTATGCAGTAACTGTTCCCATACACACGTAAGCATTTATTTATGCACAAGCATTGTTGCAAATCCAGGCCACACACATATGGATAGAGTACATTACACACGAACACACACACACACAGTTTAGTCAGAATAGTTAAAATTTGTCATCAATATCCGAGGAACGACATCATTGAATTTTCATAAATTTCATATTCACATTTTAAAATGTGTATGCCACATATTGTTGTTGTTGTTGTTTTTTATGATACATGTAAGAAGAGAGAAAGAGAGAGAGAGAAAAATATTTGAAACTTTATTGTAGATTTCGGTACCCTACACCATATAGTTTAGCTGAGAAATAATAGTCCTACACCCACTCTGTTAGAATACTATTCTATTCAGAAACAATATTTTCAAGGCCCAATAGGGTTAAGGTCCTTCTCTACATCTTCAGAACATTTCGAAAACCTAGGTTCTATTTTTCTTTTCATCGATCATGTTGGATAATGTGTCCAGGACCATCGCTTAGTTAGTATTTTTATTTCTCTGAATGGCTTCATGCTCTGGAACCGATATCAGTATCGTCTGAGTTCTGACAGGTACTAATAATGCTTCTTAAAAGATGTTTCGATTTCAAGTAATAGTAGTCTGATGTAGATCAAAAGGAAACCCCTAATCCAGTACACTTAAATAGTTTCATCCCAGAAGTTAGTGATTGCATCCCCGTCTTTTCTAACAGATGTGTAAGGTCCTGTCAAAGCCTGGCTTATAAATACTAAATTTAAACCTAAATAGATTTTGTAATAAGAATCGGACTCAGAGTGTCTTGTTAACAATGACGTCGACTATTATGTCCAGGCTGGCAAGAGGGTGTCGAGTTCATATAATAAGTTAGTCACCATTTCTATGAGAATAATATAAGATACCAAGCGTCTTAATCATTCGACTCTCCACATTACGTTATGTTAAGAAGTTTGATGGAACAAATTGGCGAAATTCCACTCGGTGTACACTGAGGTCCCTTGTGATTCCTTTCAAAGAAATCGAAGAATCAAGACTAGAGAAGAAGTAAGAAAACGTAGAGAACAGAACCAGGCTGAGCCCCAAGTAATTCTACCTGGATCCTGAAAATAAATTGTCTGAGACTCCGAATGAAGAAAAAAATAAGTCGAAGAAACGGGTAATTCGTGCTCTGAAACCGATATCAATGTCGTCTGATATGATATCGATGTGAAAAAACGTTTAAATCTCAGATAATAAGTAGTCCGATATAGGTTAAAAGGAAATACTCGAACCAGTACACTAAAATATAGATCGATTCATCCCAACACTAGCTTGGGCGTCCCAATATTTTCTTACTGATGTCGAAGGTCTTGTCAAAGCTTCCCGTTAGAACTATATACATAATCCGTCTGTTACCTCAAATAAAGCCTTATCGGTACCATAACCAACGCTGTTATATCATGAAACATCGGGCAATCTGAGTCTGTCCAGACTGGCTAGAGGCGTCGACCTTATAGATTAAGTTGGTTACCATATCTTTGCGAAGAACAAAGAGGGTAATGAACGAAAGTGCTGTAACTCCACACGGAGTTCACAGAGGTCTATTGTGATTTCATTCAAAGAAATAAAAGAGTCAAGAATAGAGAATAATTATCTGAAAAGACGTCTCAATCTCAGATAATAAGTAGTCAGCATCCCAATCTTTTCTTGCTGATGTGAAAGGTCCTGTCAAAGCTTGTCGTAAGAACTACAAACATAATCTCAAATAAAGCCTTATCGGTACTATAACCAACAGCGTTCATATCATAATTAGCAAATACATAGAGTATTATGTCCAGACTGGCTAGAGGCGTCGACCTTATAGATTAAGTTGGTTACCATATCTTTGCGAAGAACAAAGAGGGTTATGAACGAAAGTGCTGTAACTCCACACGGAGTTCACAGAGGTCTATTGTGATTTCATTCAAAGAAATAAAAGAGTCAAGAATAGAGAATAATTATCTGAAAAGACGTCTCAATCTCAGATAATAAGTAGTCAGCATCCCAATCTTTTCTTACTGATGTGGAAGATCCTGTCAAACCTTGTCGTAAGAACTATAAACATAATATCAAATAAAGCCTTATCGGTACCATAACCAAACAGCGTTTATATCATAAAACATCGGGCAATCTGAGTCTAATTAGAAAATACGTCGAGTATTATGTTCAGACTCGCAAGTGGGCGTCGATCTCATAGATTAAGTTGATCTATCCGAAGAACAGAATGTATAAATCGTCTTTATCATTCGTCTTTCCACACTACGTTAAAAGGGTATCAGAGGGTATCAGAGGGTATCAGAGGGTTAGAGTTATAAGACTACTTCTATCTAGTCCAATAAGTATCCTGGTTTCTTTCGCATCAAGATACTGTTCAATACATTCTACTATTCCAGGACTGATTGATAATATTGCGGTATATTTCCGTTATACACCGTATATCAATCGTCGAGAATCTGATGGACCCTTCTATGTATGTCGAGAGCATAAAGGACCGGAGTCTACGGTCACTATCCACCTAGGATCCATCGGTAAATACTGCACTCGATTCCAACAGTTAATCAAATCCAAGCTAATCGTCCCTAGTTGGAAATTCTAGTAATGTTGTAATCCCCAAATCGAAAGTCGTTTTATTACTTGATCTGTGTATATGGGATATAACATCGTGCAAATATATGCGACCATTTCTGTGATGATTGGTCCACAATTTCCTCTAATTTTTATACAAAAAATTAATCATTTTTTTAATTTCTTCACAATTTGCTTTATATCTAATCTGATGCCCCATTTAGGGCTTTCTACTGGTTTAACTAGTGTTCTGGTCTATCAGGTAAAGAAGCATACAGCAGGCTCGATATTGGCCTAGGTGCATATCTTCGGATCTGATGTAGATTACTTTCATATTAGTTTTCAGACCCGATCATTTTATGACCTGTTAGGTGTGGGCTATTACATTGGGCCCGATTTTAATTTCTCATTTGGTTCAACTAAAATTTTTTACCTCATAGTTCGAATTTCCGGTGCGCTAAACCAGGCGATTTTTGTTGATCGACATCTTGTTCGTACTTCGAACACGGTAATATTTTCAGGTAATTCAGGTAATTGACTAAATACTTTATTTGTAGTAACAGCGAGCTGGAGTAATAAATTAAAAGTACAAATTATTTCAAATGAAATGGTTCGGAAAATTAGAACAAGTGAGAATAGGAAATATTTCACCGATTATAGTTCATTTTTACAAACGTAATTATCACTTACCGCAACTTTGTTTGCTCGTAAAACTTCATCATCATTACTGGGCTTAAAACGAATCATATAACGTTCGCCTTCGCTCACCGGAGACATTGTTAAATAGGTCGGTCTATAGATGTTACTAAAGGTACCCACTAGTTTTCGTTGTTTTAAAATTTTGGCATCTACTTCACTGCCACCGCAGGGTAAAACTAAATAGCGCAAATTTTGATTTGGCTCATAGGAGGGAATCTGTAAATAATAAATAATCTGAAAGTTAGTTTAGGAAAGGAAACTATATCTTTCGAAAGCATGCATAATTTCAATTCCAAAACAATAACATTAATAGTTAACTAAAACAATAGAAATATGTGTATTTGTGTTTTTGAGAAGTAAAGAAAATTTTTTAAAATTTTTATTTGCAATTCCATACCAAGCCAATAGCCAACAAATTATAAACTCAAAAACTGTATTTACCTTAAAACTAAATACCTGAACACCATGCATTCCCGAAATTTTCACTATATTTAAATTGTTAGCTCTCAGAACGGCTGGGTGTGTGCGATTAAAGTGCATGGTCGAGGATGCAATGTGAAATGTGAGATTTTGTCGTTTCGTATGAACACCAAAGATATCTAAATAGTAAATGTAGTTGGGAGCCAAGCCTCGTATTAATTGTTGAGTACGACTGCCAGTGCAAATTACATTTGTTATGTGGGGTGCTAAAATGGTTTAAGGGATGAGAGTGAGAGAGTAAAGATATACATTTTAATAGAATTAGTGAATACATATTTTGGACTGATTGGTATCAATTCGTGGAGAATTTTTAACATTTGCTCCCACGCTTAATTAGTTTAGGTTACTCGGAACGCTCGAAATTTTGCTAGCAGGCCATTTGGCCTATCGTGAATTCCGTGTTCCCCAAGGACTTCATACTTACTTATTCGTTGAGATTTATGAACGAATTTCCTATGGAGGCACTCGCCTAATATGTAAAGTACGACAATCAACAAACTAACTAACTAACTAACTAACTAACTAACTAACTACTAACTAACTAACTAACTAACTAACTAACTAACTAACTAACTAACTAACTAACTAACTAACTAACTAACTAACTAACTAACTAACTAACTAACTAACTAACTAACTAACTAACTAACTAACTAACTAACTAACTAACTAACTAACTAACTAACTAACTAACTACTAACTAACTAACTACTAACTAACTAACTAACTAACTAACTAACTAACTAACTAACTAACTAACTAACTAACTAACTAACTAACTAACTAACTAACTAACTAACTAACTACTAACTAACTACTAACTAACTAACTAACTAACTAACTAACTAACTAACTAACTAACTAACTAACTAACTAACTAACTACTAACTAACTAACTAACTAACTAACTAACTAACTAACTAACTAACTACTAACTAACTAACTAACTAACTAACTAACTAACTACTAACTAACTAACTAACTAACTAACTAACTAACTACTAACTAACTACTAACTAACTAACTAACTAACTAACTAACTAACTAACTAACTAACTAACTAACTACTAACTAACTAACTAACTAACTAACTAACTAACTAACTAACTAACTAACTAACTAACTAACTAACTAACTAACTAACTACTAACTAACTAACTAACTAACTAACTAACTAACTAACTACTAACTAACTAACTAACTAACTAACTAACTAACTAACTAACTAACTAACTAACTAACTAACTAACTAACTAACTAACTAACTAACTAACTACTAACTAACTAACTAACTAACTAACTAACTAACTAACTAACTAACTAACTAACTAACTAACTAACTAACTAACTAACTAACTAACTAACTAACTAACTAACTAACTAACTAACTAACTAACTACTAACTAACTACTAACTAACTAACTAACTAACTAACTAACTACTAACTAACTAACTAACTAACTAACTACTACTAACTACTAACTAACTAACTAACTAACTAACTAACTAACTAACTAACTAACGAACTACTAACTAACTAACTAACTAACTACTAACTAACTAACTAACTAACTAACTAACTAACTAACTAACTAACTAACTAACTAACTACTAACTAACTAACTAACTAACTAACTAACTAACTAACTACTAACTAACTAACTAACTAACTACTAACTAACTAACTAACTAACTAACTAACTAACTAACTAACTAACTAACTAACTAACTAACTAACTAACTAACTAACTAACTAACTAACTAACTAACTAACTAACTAACTAACTAACTAACTAACTAACTAACTAACTAACTAACTAACTAACTAACTAACTAACTAACTAACTAACTAACTAACTACTAACTACTAACTAACTAACTAACTAACTAACTAACTAACTAACTAACTAACTAACTAACTAACTAACTAACTAACTAACTAACTAACTAACTAACTACTAACTAACTAACTAACTAACTAACTAACTAACTAACTAACTAACTAACTAACTAACTAACTAACTAACTAACTAACTTACTAACTAACTAACTAACTAACTACTAACTAACTAACTAACTAACTACTAACAACTAACTAACTAACTAACTAACTAACTAACTAACTAACTAACTAACTAACTAACTAAACTAACTAACTAACTAACTAACTAACTAACTAACTAACTAACTAACTAACTAACTATACTAACTACTACTAACTACTAACTAACTATAACTAACTAACTAACTAACTAACTAACTAACTAACTACTAACTAACTTACTAACTAACTAACTAACTACTAACTAACTAAACAAACTAACTAACTAACTAACTAACTAACTAACTAACTAACTAACTAACTAACTACTAACTAACTAACTAACTACTAACTAACTAACTAACTAACTAACTAACTAACTAACTAACTATAACTAACTACTAACTAACTAACTAACTACTAACTAACTAACTAACGTAACTAACGAACAAACTAACTAACTACTAACAAACTAACAAACTACTAACTAACTTACACTAAACTAACTAACTAACTAACGAACTAACCTAACTAACTAACTACTAACTAACTAACTAACTAACTAACTACTAACTAACTAAGTAACTAAACTAACTAACTAACTAACTAACTAACTAACTACTACAACTAACTACTAACTAACTAACTAACTACTAACTACTAACTAACTAACTAACTAACTAACTAACTAACTAACTACTAACTAACTAACTAACTAACTAACTACTAACTAACACTAACTACTAACTAACTAACTAACTAACTAACTAACTACTAACTAACTACTAACAAACAACTAACTAACTAACAAACTAACAACTAACTAACTAACTAACTAACTAACTAACTAACTACTAACTAACTAACTAACTAACTAACTAACTAACTAACTAACTACTAACTAACTAAGTAACTAACTAACTAACTAACTACTAACTAACTAACTAACTAACTACTAACTAACTACTAACTAACTACTAACTAACTAACTAACTAACTAACTAACTAACTAAGTAACTAACTAACTAACTAACTAACTAACTTTTACTTAGTCTTTTAATGGATACCACTAGATGGCCGTCTCTACAAGGAGTGGTCAAAAAAAGTGAGAAAGAGGCAACTTTTCCAGGTCTAGGAATAACATATTTTTTTCTTGTAGGCTACTACACTCTTACCATAAGGACCCACGTTACGCTAGATCTTAACCTGGTACCAATACGCTCCATATTTTGACTTGCAGGTAAAACCTAATTATATAACACTTTGGAATGTCAGTCATGGCTTTCGTGATTCGGATTGAGATCAATAACATATATTTCTTAGTAACATTGAGCTCTTAAACGACGTTTGTAAAGATAGGTCTACTATAGATACGGGTTCATAATACAATCTGCCATAGTTTTTATAACTGTCGATATCGTGGGATTCGATTCATATTTATCTCAAGATCAAAATAATTTGTATAGCTAATCATATGGTCTGACTATCTTACCAATCTTTTTAGCCCTTTCCGGGGGTCTAGAAAATATCGTCTCTATTGTAGCTGCCGGCTGACAATTTGCTGTTAAACTGCGGCGATTTGTAAAGGGTGAAGACATTGAGGTTAGATACTCCTCAACCGCTTGACAGAAATCCAAATGAGCATTTTTCGTACTGACTACCAAACAATAATTGACGGCATGAAAATCAAATTTACTAAAAACGCAAATAAAGAAAATAAATAAAAATATTTGTCATAAACAAATTGCAGTTAAATTAAAGCCAGACCCACCTTTTATCCCATTTAACAATCATTTGTCGTTTTCTTACACGATTTTGACTACGTATACTAATACGATGTGTACGATTCAATAGTGGCCAATTGGCCTGAGGATGTAAAGCTGTAGCCTCTATTTTTACAGAACCTCTATGGCGTGCTTGCACAAAAATATCATATTGGCCTCGTAGAGCACAAGTCAAGACCACAGAACGTTGGTCGATTTTAACGGCTCGCAATAAATTTGCTGTTTAAAGCAAAAATTTTGAACGATATTATAATGAAGTCATTCATTCGTTATAGTCATTTATTTGTTCATTTAAGTTTTTCCCATTAAGTATGCCAGTCGTAATTATCCAGAATGAAAAAAAATAATGCAAAAATGGGGAAACAATTTGTTTGGGTTTTATAAAGTTGTAGTTAATATTTTATATTATTTTTTGTATAATTATTTCAATTTGGACTTCTTTGGCCAATAAATGTTTGAGTGAATGGCTACTTACCCGTTTGATTAAAATATATTTTACGTGCCACAATTTGTGAGAAATTTATATTTAAGGGAGCCGATGAATTCAAATGTAATACAAATCTGAAAATAAAACGAAAGAAAATTATGATTTTTATTTAAGAATTTATTTACTGGAAATAATGCTATAAAATGGTCGGTAGGAATATTTTTAATATAAAATGTTTGTTAGACATTTCCATCTATATCTAGGAGGCCTGTTGTGATTGCCCTAAAATAATCCCTTCCCTATTTTGTTCTGTATTATAATTACCCTCAACTCGTCCTTTTAAAGCAACTGCCTCTTATTCCTATCGGCCTTACTGCTTTAACCAATCTTTATTGCCTGTATAATTCATCAAAAGAAAGCCCAAAAAACCAGGATATTATTACTCATGTTGTAAATTATAAAATATAGTATATTTTTAACCACTTAATTATACCGGAAATTTGTATGCCTTAATGCATTTCTACTTATGACTGCAGCCAATTAACTTGTTGAATTTCGTTCTTTTATTCTTGTTATGAAAAGAAAACTCATTTTTTTTACAATAATTTTTCAAATAATTTATGCCCCACATAATTTATTCAAATGAATTATTGTGAAGAAAATTTAAGAAAATATTGCGTAAAATTTTAACTCCAGCCACACTTTTAAATGCAGATACAAGTAGGTATTGACATTGCACTATGGCAAGTGGTTGGGGAAATTTAAAAATGTATGCTGTTAGCTTAAAAGGAAAGTCCTTGCAGCTTAAATCTAATAATGCTTAGATTAATCTTAACGCTAATTATAACACAACATCAAAAATATGTTTATATGTATATGTAGTACCTATATCGAAACATTACTATTATACTCTCATCTAAGTATGTTTTCTCGTCTATAGTTTAGATTAGTTACCTGGTCTCGCTTAAGTCTAGCCTACAGTCAATGGAAGTTTATTGTTTAGTTTACAACTAGTTTGTAGTCTAGTCTATAGTCCAGTTTATAACTAGTTTATAGTCTATTCTATAGTCTATTCTTAGTCCTTCTTTAGTCATCTTGTTAGTCTATTCTTAGTTCTATTCTGTAGTTCTATTCTGTAGTCTCTTCTCTAGTCTAGTCTATAGTCTAGTCTATAGTTGTCTATAGTCTAGTCTATAGTCTAGTCTATAGTAGTCATAGTCTGTATAGTCTAGGTCTATAGTCTAGTCTATAGTCTAGCTCTATAGGTCTAGTCTATAGTCTAGTTATAGTCTAGGTCTATAGTCTAGTCTATAGTCTTAGTCTATAGTCTAGTCTGTAGTCTAGTTCTATGCGTTAGTCTAAGTTTAGTCTAGGTAGTATAGTCTAGTCTCTAGTCTAGTCTATAGTCTAGTTTATAGCTTAGTCTTATAGTCTAGTCTATAGTCTAGTCTATAGTCTAGTCTATAGTCTAGTCTATAGTTCAGTCTATAGTCTAGTCTATCGTCTAGTCTAAGTTAGTCTAGTCTATAGTCTAGTCTATAAGTCTAGGTCTATAGTCTAGTCTATAGTATCTAGTCTATAGTCTAGTCTATAGTCTAGTCTATAGTCTAGTCTATAGTCTAGTCTATAGTCTAGTCTATAGTCTAGTCTATAGTCTAGTCTATAGTCTAGTCTATAGTCTAGTCTATAGTCTAGTCTATAGTCTAGTCTATAGTCTAGTCTATAGTCTAGTCTATAGTCTAGTCTATAGTCTAGTCTATAGTCTAGTCTATAGTCTAGTCTATAGTCTAGTCTATAGTCTAGTCTATAGTCTAGTCAATAGTCTAGTCTATAGTCTAGTCTATAGTCTAGTCTATAGTCTAGTCTAGTCTATAGTCTAGTCTATAGTCTAGTCTATAGTCTAGTCTATAGTCTAGTCTATAGTCTAGTCTATAGTCTAGTCTATAGTCTAGTCTATAGTCTAGTCTATAGACTAGTGTATAGTCTAGTCTATAGTCTAGTCTATAGTCTAGTCTATAGTCTAGTCTATAGTCTAGTCTATAGTCTAGTCTATAGTCTAGTCTATAGTCTAGTCTATAGTCTAGTCTATAGTCTAGTCTATAGTCTAGTCTATAGTCTAGTCTATAGTCTAGTCTATAGTCTAGTCTATAGTCTAGTCTATAGTCTAGTCTATAGTCTAGTCTATAGTCTAGTCTATAGTCTAGTCTATAGTCTAGTCTATAGTCTAGTCTATAGTCTAGTCTATAGTCTAGTCTATAGTCTAGTCTATAGTCTAGTCTATAGTCTAGTCTATAGTCTAGTCTATAGTCTAGTCTATAGTCTAGTCTATAGTCTAGTCTATAGTCTAGTCTATAGTCTAGTCTATAGTCTAGTCTATAGTCTAGTCTATAGTCTAGTCTATAGTCTAGTCTATAGTCTAGTCTATAGTCTAGTCTATAGTCTAGTCTATAGTCTAGTCTATAGTCTAGTCTATAGTCTAGTCTATAGTCTAGTCTATAGTCTAGTCTATAGTCTAGTCTATAGTCTAGTCTATAGTCTAGTCTATAGTCTAGTCTATAGTCTAGTCTAGTCTAGTCTATAGTCTAGTCTATAGTCTAGCCTATAGTCTAGTCTATAGTCTAGTCTATAGTCTAGTCTATAGTCTAGTCTATAGTGTAGTCATATCTAGTCTATAGTCTAGTCTATAGTCTAGTCTATAGTCTAGCCTATAGTCTAGTCTATAGTCTAGCCTATAGTCTAGTCTATAGTCTAGTCTATAGTCTAGTCTATAGTCTAGTCTATAGTCTAGTCTATAGTCTAGTCAATAGTCTAGTCTATAGTCTAGTCTATAGTCTAGTCTATAGTCTAGTCTATAGTCTAGTCTATAGTCTAGTCTATAGTCTAGTCTATAGACTAGTCTATAGTCTAGTCTATAGTCTAGTCTATAGTCTAGTCTATAGTCTAGTCTATAGTCTAGTCTATAGACTAGTCTATAGTCTAGTCTATAGTCTAGTCTATAGTCTAGTCTATAGTCTAGTCTATAGTCTAGTCTATAGTCTAGTCTATAGTCTAGTCTATAGTCTAGTCTATAGTCTAGTCTATAGTCTAGTCTATAGTCTAGTCTATAGTCTAGTCTATAGTCTAGTCTATAGTCTAGTCTATAGTCTAGTCTATAGTCTAGTCTATAGTCTAGTCAATAGTCTAGTCTATAGTCTAGTCTATAGTCTAGTCTATAGTCTAGTCTAGTCTAGTCTAGTCTAGTCTATAGTCTAGTCTATAGTCTAGTCTATAGTCTAGTCTATAGTCTAGTCTATAGTCTAGTCTATAGTCTAGTCTATAGACTAGTGTATAGTCTAGTCTATAGTCTAGTCTATAGTCTAGTCTATAGTCTAGTCTATAGTCTAGTCTATAGTCTAGTCTATAGTCTAGTCTATAGTCTAGTCTATAGTCTAGTCTATAGTCTAGTCTATAGTCTAGTCTATAGTCTAGTCTATAGTCTAGTCTATAGTCTAGTCTATAGTCTAGTCTATAGTCTAGTCTATAGTCTAGTCTATAGTCTAGTCTATAGTCTAGTCTATAGTCTAGTCTATAGTCTAGTCTATAGTCTAGTCTATAGTCTAGTCTATAGTCTAGTCTATAGTCTAGTCTAGTCTAGTCTATAGTCTAGTCTATAGTCTAGTCTATAGTCTAGTCTATAGTCTAGTCTATAGTCTAGTCTATAGTCTAGTCTATAGTCTAGTCTATAGTCTAGTCTATAGTCTAGTCTATAGTCTAGTCTATAGTCTAGTCTATAGTCTAGTCTATAGTCTAGTCTATAGTCTAGTCTATAGTCTAGTCTATAGTCTAGTCTATAGTCTAGTCTATAGTCTAGTCTAGTCTAGTCTATAGTCTAGTCTATAGTCTAGTCTAGTCTAGTCTATAGTCTAGTCTATAGTCTAGCCTATAGTCTAGTCTATAGTCTAGTCTATAGTCTAGTCTATAGTCTAGTCTATAGTCTAGTCTTAGTCTAGTCTATAGTCTAGTCTATAGTCTAGTCTATAGTCTAGTCTATAGTCTAGTCTATAGTCTAGTCTATAGTCTAGTCTATAGTCTAGTCTATAGTCTAGTCTATAGTCTAGTCTATAGTCTAGTCTATAGTCTAGTCTATAGTCTAGTCTATAGTCTAGTCTATAGTCTAGTCTATAGTCTAGTCTATAGTCTAGTCTATAGTCTAGTCTATAGACTAGTCTATAGTCTAGTCTATAGTCTAGTCTATAGTCTAGTCTATAGTCTAGTCTATAGTCTAGTCTATAGTCTAGTCTATAGTCTAGTCTATAGACTAGTCTATAGTCTAGTCTATAGTCTAGTCTATAGTCTAGTCTATAGTCTAGTCTATAGTCTAGTCTATAGTCTAGTCTATAGTCTAGTCTATAGTCTAGTCTATAGTCTAGTCTATAGTCTAGTCTATAGTCTAGTCTATAGATAGTGTATAGTCTAGTCTATAGTCTAGTCTATAGTCTAGTCTATAGTCTAGTCTATAGTCTAGTCTATAGTCTAGTTTATAGTCTAGTCTATAGTCTAGTCTATAGTCTAGTCTATAGTCTAGTCTATAGTCTAGTCTATAGTCTAGTCTATAGACTAGTGTATAGTCTAGTCTATAGTCTAGTCTATAGTCTAGTCTATAGTCTAGTCTATAGTCTAGTCTATAGTCTAGTCTATAGTCTAGTCTATAGACTAGTCTACAGTCTAGTCTATAGTCTAGTCTATAGTCTAGTCTATAGTCTAGTCTATAGTCTAGTCTATAGTCTAGTCTATAGTCTAGTCTATAGTCTAGTCTATAGTCTAGTCTATAGTCTAGTCTATAGTCGAGTCTATAGACTAGTGTATAGTCTAGTCTATAGTCTAGTGTATAGTCTAGTCTATAGTCTAGTCTATAGTCTAGTCTATAGTCTAGTGTATAGTCTAGTCTATAGTCTAGTCTATAGTCTAGTCTATAGTCTAGTCTATAGTCTAGTCTATAGTCTAGTCTATAGTCTAGTCTATAGTCTAGTCTATAGTCTAGCCTATAGTCTAGTCTATAGTCTAGTCTATAGTCTAGTCTATAGTCTAGTCTATAGTCTAGTCTATAGTCTAGTCTATAGTCTAGTCTATAGACTAGTGTATAGTCTAGTCTATA